GACAGCCCCCCCCCCTCCCCTCCTGATCATATTAAAATTTTTCAAAATAAATATATCTTAAATGCTTATTTAGTGAATTCTGCGCCCCTGAATATATAAATATTCTGGTGCGCCCCTGAACATATAAATATTCTGGTGCGCCCCTATATATATATACATATTCTGGTGAGCCCCTGAATATATAAATATTCTGGTGCGCCCCTGAATATAAAATATTCTGGTGCGCCCCTGCAAAAAACAGGAAAGCAAGTTGAAAGTTTTATAATTATAGATTGACTTGCAAAAGTTTGTTCAGTATTTCCTCTATTCACCAAAGGTTAAACTCATGTTTATTAATAATACTAATAACAATAATAATAATAATACTAAATCAATTCATTGCAAGAAACAATTTATATTTACATTCAAATATGGAAACTGTTACAACGATAAGTGTCTTTTAGTAAAATTTTCACAATATATTTACACAAATTTGTCCAATCTGCTGTCAGCGAAAGGTTTATATCTAGCAAAGCCTGTTTTTAATATAAAAATAGATATGTAGAGCCTTTTAGAGAATATATTTGTAGAGACCCTAAGAGAATACATTGAAGGGACCTCTAGAGAAAAAATATGTAGGGCCCCCTAGTGAATATATATGTAGGGTTCCCTAGAGAATATATATGTAGGGTCCCCTTGAGAATATATATGTAGGGTCCCCAAGAGAATATATTTGTAGAGACCACCTAGAGAATTTATTGAAGGGACCTCTAGAGATTTTGGTAGCGGCCAAACTGTGTTACTCGCGAATGCCGCAATAAATTAAAAGAAGGGAGAGATTAGGTTCTATATATTGGGATTAGGTTAGGTTAAAACTCTTTCCGAGCACCGCGGGTATGACAGGCTGAGGGCCGAGCGCTGCGGATAGAACTGGCTCTCTCTCTGTCTTATAATTTATTGCGGCATTTGCGAGTAACGCAGATTGGCCGCTGCCTAGAGAAAATATATTTAGGGCCCCAAGAAAATAGATATGTAGGGCACTCTAGAGAATATATTTTTAGAGTCCCCTAGAGAATACATTGAAGGGCCTTCTAGAGAATGTATATGTAGGGCCCCCTAGAGAATATATGTAGGGTCCACTAGAGAATATATATGTAGGGTCCCCTAGAGAATGTATGTGTAGGGTCCCCAAGAGAATATATCTGTAGGGTCCCCTAGAGAATGTATCTGTAGGGTCCCCTAGAGAATGTATCTGTAGGGTCCCCTAGAGAATGTATCTGTAGGGTCCCCTAGAGAATATATCTGTAGGGTCCCCTAGAGAATGTATCTGTAGGGTCCCATAGAGAATATATCTGTAGGGTCTCCTAGAGAATGTATCTGTAGGGTCCCCTAAAGAATATATATGTAGGGTCCCCTAGAGAATATATCTGTAGGGTCCCCTAGAGAATGTATCTGTAGGGTCCCCTAAAGAATATATATGTAGGGTCCCCTAGAGAATATATCTGTAGGGTCCCCTAGTGAATGTATCTGTAGGGTCCCCTGGAAGAAATGTATAAGGAATGTTCTCTGTCAAACGATGAAAGAAAACTGCACCATTTTTACCCTGGCATAATAATTGCCAGGGTAAAAACACAGAGGCTTCGAAATAATTATAAAGTTTACACAAAGTATAAAAGATACAAATTTTAGTTTTTAACGGTATCCTTTCATTCACTGTAAAATCAAATAAATTCAAATAAATTCAAAAAATATTTTTTATAATCGCCTTTTTCATGTTCAAACTTTTTTACTTAGCAATTAATAAAATAAATCATACATAATCTTTCTAATAAGCACGTAATCTCATGATTAACTTATAATCACAAAAAAATCTACTAAAATAGAATTATTAACATTAGAACGGCTTAATTATTTTTTACTAATAGGAACAAAAATACAAAGATAAAACTAAAAAAGGAAGAAGTAAAAATAAGACTAAACAATTCTAATTTAAAAGAAGAAATGTTTACCAATGAAATTGTAAACCCTAGAATTGACGTCAAAAAATAGAATGAAAACAATAAAATCGAAAGAAATACAAGAATATAGTAGTAGGAGTAGTAGGAGTAGAAGTAGGAGCATTAGGATGAGTAGATGTTTAGGATTAGGAGGAGTAGGTGATTAGGGTTAGGAGAAGTAGGATATTAGGATTAGGAGGAGTAGGATATTAGGATTAGGAAGAGTAGGATATTAGAATTAGGAGGAGTAGGGAATTAATTATGATTAGGAGGAGTACGATATTATGATTAGGAGGAGTAGGGGATTAATTATGATTAGGAGGAGTTGGATATTATGATTAGGAGGAGTAGGATATTAGGATTAGGAGGAGTAGGTGATTAATTATTATTAGGAGGAGTAGGATATTATGATTAGGAGGAGTTAGATATTAGGATTAGAAGGAGTATAGGAGAGTGGAAGGGGATGGTACATTGAAAGAGAGGGGAAGAGGGAAGTGTTAAAAAAATGTTTTAAATGTGTTTTGCATAAATGATTATTATGGGTGGCCCGGTGGGACGTGGAAGGGCTATGAGCTATGAGAATTGAATATATCTTTTAAAAATGTTTTGGGAAAGACAATAATAATTTAGGCGATCAGAAAATGTGAAAAATTTTCAACTAATAGAAATTATTTAATTATTTTTAAAAATGCAGAAAGAAACTAAATAACTAAAAGTTCTCAGACATCAAATAGCAAAGATATAGGGATTTTAAAATTAGAGTTTGAGGCAAGTCTTTGGTTAATTTATTATAAAAGAGAAGAAAGGCGTAAAGAAAGTAAAAAAGTATTATCCAGGGGATATTGATATTATATCAAAACAAGTTTTATCAATTTCTTGACATTTTAACAGTTTTAAAATACCTGTAATTCTAAAGAAACTGTAACTTTGCAAGAAATAATGAAAAACAAAAAAGGTTAACCTAAAAATAAAAGAATCCGGAATCTATTTATCGTGATTAAAAAAACATAAGTATGGAGCCCAATCTCAAAATATGTTCTTTAAAAAAAGCATTCCTAATTCAAATCTTAAAAAAAATTTTGATTTTTTTTTACAATTTTTCCCTTTTCCGGTTGTTTAAGCTTTTGTAAGTTTTTCTTCTAATTACTTTTATTGTTTTCTTGTAAAACTTGGATTTTAGACAGCAGTCAACATTCAGCAGGCAACAGACAATTCAAATATTTTTGTCAGTTTTGTCCTTTTTTCTTCAGATTTAAATATTATTATTCAGTAAAAATTCAATGCATACATTAATGATTAAGATTTGTACGACTATATGTTATATTGATTTTACAATTTTACAATAAAATTAGGTTTTCTTTATGTAAAACATTACAAAGCTTTGTATTCTGATCGGAAACCCATTTTGATTTTATAAATCGATGTATGATTTCTAATTTTGGAAAATTGAGAATGTTTTCTTCATTAGAAAATGGGTGCTAAGAAGCATGAGTATAAACAACTTTTTGAAAAAATTGACCAAGAAGAGGATGGAGAAGTGTATCTAAGGTATAATCTATATATTTATATATCGGGGTTTACCAAAATTAAACTGGATGGAGAAGTGTATCTAAGGTTTAATCTATATATTTATATATCTGGGGTTTAAAAAATAAAAAAGCATTTCTAGAAAATTTGAAATTTTTGATTTGCTAACTTGATTTTCCTCTTGGCCGATGTTACACTTTATTTTAATTGAAAAATAAAAATGCTGTTTTAAGAAAAATGATAATCGTGAAATCAAAAGATTCTTTTTTTGTCAATCTTTTTGTTACGCGAGCCATGCTGCGTATAGAAAGTCTGTTTGTCGCCCCTGTGTATTTCTGAGTTCCTCCTGAAGATCTGTACGGAATGTATTGTGAAAGAACTAGTTTAGGAACTGTTTACAGTCCGACTGCGCAGACGCAAGATTTCTNTCTAAAACAGTATATGGAAGAACTGTTAAAAACTATTCACCAACTGTCATGTTTCGTGGGACATCTTGTAGTGTAAATGCTAAACAGATTGCTGAATCATAAATATTAAATGTTCAAAAGATAAGTTCAAAAGTTATTGGGTTATTTTTAATTTCAATATTATTTCTATTTGAGAATTAGGCGAACTGTAAAATTCGTTTCTGACCTATCACGCTTTGACCATTATATTCTGTTCATTAAATTTTATTTGCTGCAGTTTTGAAAAATCACCAAAATCTAGAGTGCTATTTGTAATTCCATGCTAACATTATCTATACACATATAAAGTAGTATTCAAGGTTTGTTTGTTTGTAAATCCGATCATAACTCAGGAACCCCGTGACCGATTTGCCTTTAATTTTGGTTAGGGAACTCGAAAGAACCCGGGAAATGTTCTTAGGTTAATTTTTATATTCTAAGTTGAGTGCGTCGACTTTAAAGGAAAAATAGCTAAACTCGTAATCTAAGAGTAACTATGAAAAACCTGGGCAACGCTGGGTTCCCAAGCTAGTATTTAGATAAAACTATGTTAAAAATAAAGCTTAAAAAATTTAACATTTATATTTAGAGAAGTAACCTGGTTCTTGAGAGCACTCAACCAAGACGTAGATTCAAATCTTCAGGTTTCATTTATATTCATGAAAATAGTTTTTGCTCTTTTAAAAAAAAATGTATTTTTAATAATCTTCTTTATTCATTTTTTTATACAAATCAATTCTTAAAATTTTAATTTATGATTTTTGATTTTCTAAAGTGGATAAATCGTTTTTTAAACAACAAGTCTTACTTTAAATTACTGATTTTGAAAGAAAAAACATTATGTTAGAATTACAGAGACGATATTGATAGAGATCAGGGGGCGGAACGTCATGTGTGTGTGTCTGTACCAAAAGAGTGTGTGTAAGGTTAACGTACCGAAGGTATGTACTGTAGGTATATACAGTGCATACGAATCTCGGTATTTGTACAGTCTAGGAGAATACATTTGTTTATTGTTAATTGTTTACCTAAAAATAAGTTTAATATACATGTAGTATATTATTTATATATTTAAGTCAACACTATAAGCCAAACTTTCATGCAAAGAATATAACTTGATTAAAGTTTACACTAAATATAGTCGTTATTTAAGCTTAATTATAATTGACAACATTGTTCCGCAAATTCCTTGACTGTAATCATGTTGTGTGTCTTTACTAAAAGAGTTTAGGTAAGGTTAGCGTACTGGTCTGCAAAGCAGTGCGACTGGCTTTCTCATGCCAGACCAGCGCCATTTACTTTCCCTTTATTTCTATTCCCTGATAGAGATTCAGTGTACTGAGTACAGCAGGCAAGCTGGGAAAAACTGTACAATTTTAGAAAAACTGGCGTTGTTTGTGTTCGGATTCTTAAACACTAGTTATTTTTTAGTGCTTCCTTCGTTTACTTTCGATATTTTTTGTTTACAATTTAGGGGGGAAATATCTATCTATCTCTCAGATCATTTAATACTGATATGTACGCCCGCAAAATGACTACTAAATATTTAATTAAAGCTTAAAAAATTTAACATTTATATTTAGAGAAGTAACCTGGTTCTTGAGAGCACTCAACCAAGACGTAGATTCAAATCTTCAGGTTTCATTTTTATTCATGAAAATAGATTATGCTCTCTTAAAAATATGTATTTTTAATAATTTTTATTTCATTTTTTTTCATATAAATCAATTCTTAAAATTTTAATTTAAGATTTTTGAATTTCTAAAGTGGATAAATCGTTTTTTTTGAACGACAAGTGATACTGTAAATTAATGATTTTGCAAGAAAACAAATTATGTTACAATAATAGAGATTCAGTGTACTGAGTACAGCAAGCAAGCTGGGCAAAACTGTTCAATTTTAGAAAAATTGGCGTTGTTTGTGTTCGGATTCTTAAAAACAAGTTATTTTTTCCAGCGCTTCCTTTGTTTACTTTCTTATTTATTTAGAGGGAAAATATCTATATTTCTCTTAGTTCATTTAAAACTGGTATAAACGCCGGCAAAATGTTTACTAAATATATGATCTAAATATATGCCAAATTCGAAGTTTAAAACAAACCCCTGCAGACCTTGCAGTATATATACTGTATTAACCCAACTTTCTCGTGAAATCGATGTTTCGTGAGATGAGTTGGCTGAGTGTCTATCTTTGTCTATGGTTATAAAATTCCGGGAGTGTAGAGAATTAGCAATGAGGAAAAAACGAACCAATGCTATAGATGCTATTTAGGATTATGTTTAATACGATCTATTTCATAAAATTAATAAAAAAAAATAAAAAATAAATCCTGAATTATGACTCCATGAATTTATCCTTTTTATCTATAGGTTAAAGTGCTACTGGACCAGTATGATTCTAATGGAGAAGATGTTCTAACATTTTCTAAATTTTGCGTAAGAATTTTTTTGATTATCATGATGATGATGTTGATGATGTTGTTGATGAAGATGATGATGTTGGTGATAATGATGACGATGATGATGATGTTGGAGATTGATGAGAATATTGTCTATCCTGACCTACATGAACCTCCTATACCTGCCTTCGATATCAAGATGAGAATGAAGAGGTTTGCTAAATCTCTGACTCCTATCTCATCCAGAGCAAGCTCTGTAACAGAAGAGATGCTGGCGGCCCAGGAACAGTANTGATGATGATGATGATGATGATGATGATGATGATGATGACGATGATGATGAAGGATATAATGAGAGAGCTGGAGGAAGCTGGTTGGAAGAAGGCTGCAGAGAAAAAGAAGGAAGATATTACTGAAACCGACATAAAGGTTTTAAATCTCGATAATCTTGGAAAAATATTTTTCACTTGCCACAAACTCTAATATATTTCTAAGGTTTCAAAAATGTAGTTTCTGGCGAGCAATCAGTAATCCGTTCCAAATTTCTTATAACAATAAAAGACAAAAATAATATAGAACGGAATACACATAAAAAACTTTTAAAAACTAAAAAAGACTTTTTTATGTTTGTTAAACTTAACAAAAATGCCTTTTTTCTACTCATAAGCCTTTCATCTTGCTTTTTTCATAGCATTATCACAATATTCGGTTTCAAATTAAACAGTTTCTAATTTAAAAAAGACCTGATCAATTGCTCTTTAATGCTTTTGCTGCTTATGTCCGCTAGTCATTTAGAGCTGTTTGGAGGAAATGAAATATATTTTAGGCGATCTTTAATCTGGTTGACGTAGACAAAAGTGGATCTTTATCAAGAAAGGTAACACAAGGGAATATCTTCATAAATAATTAATATTTGGTTTTTTAGGTAATTTTGATCAATTGATAAATCATTTCAAAGTTTAGGATTTTTTAGAATTTTCTTTAAAATATTGACAGTTTAAAGAAAGTAGTTTTGGAAAAATTAGGAGAGGGATATATAATCACATTTTTATAATTGTTAGAATTAAAGATTTTGATTCAAGTTCACTTTAAATCAATAATTCTTTAAAGGAATTGAGATTTTGTCACAAACTCTGATTTCCTAATACCTAATGTCGTCGACCTTAGATCTAAACTATAAATCTGTTAGATCAATTAACCGTGTAGTTGAAAATATCAAAGGTTTACATCATCAAGTTGCAAAAATATAGAAATTAGCAAATTTGAGTATGTGGCAAAGACTCATTTCCTTTAAAAATGAACATCCCCCCAAAAATCAAATTACAGAAATTAAAAGTTTCCAAGTTTTCAATTTTACATTTCAAGTTTTAAAATTTGCAAATATTTTACTGACACAATTTGTGTTATTTAATTTACAGAAAATAAAATTGAGTATTAAATAATAAATATTAATTTTCTTTATTACAGCGAAATAAACAGAATGTAAATAAAATGTGGTTTAGTACAGTGGTAGGCGATTACATCAATACAATAGACGACGACTTTTTTATTTAAGTTTTAATCTTTAACAAGCTTTTTTTGAATTACAAGTTTACAAACATCAAAGAAAAGCTTTTCAATTAACAGCAATTTTCTTGACTTTAATTTGTATATGTGTTTAACCCTGTTAAACCCTGTTCAGGCTGAAGCCTGGTTTACCCAAAATAGTCTGCTTCCCTTCGTTCAAGGTTTACCGAAGAGTTATAAAAAGTCGAAATATAATGACCGGAAATAGGTCTAAATATTGATTTAGTCGGGTAAAGGTAAAATAAGGCATTCAGGAAGTATGCCTGAGGACTCAGGCAGCAGGTATAAAAGCCTCGCTTTGAGCCTAAAGTGAGGGGCAAGGTAGTTATAAAAGTAAAAAAATGTGTAAAGCCTTACACCAATTCTTTTTGAGTTATCTTCAAAAACAAAAGTGGGAGGGGGGGGGGGGTTCCCCGGGACCCCCCAACCCCACCCAACCGGAATAGGGTTAACAGCTTGATATAGAATAAAATTTAAATCGAAAGTTGTCTTTATTGTATTGTAATTATCACCTACCACTGTATAAAAAGTACAAAAATGTTATTTATGTTTTTATTTAAAAAGTTTAAATATCTGCAGAATAGAGTTTCATCATGCAATGTTTAAGAAACTTCAGCACTTCTATTCAACTATTTATTCAAAATAGTGCATTATTACAAGCTTAAATTAAATAAAAACGCAAACAACTAGGACGGGAAGGGGGAGGGGGAGTGTATACTTAAATATATTTTAAGATTGTTGGAATACCTTCAGGAGAAGCAAAAATTAATTCTTTTTTTTTCTAAAATAAAAATCTACACAAATTAAACCCAAAATTTAGCTTCTTTTATCAACTAAAAAAAATTCGGAATCAAAAGCAACCTTTAACACATAATTTTGTGGCGATCAACCAACATGTTTCCAGACAGGCTATATTGATCAAATTAAAGTATGATAAGAACCGTAAAGGTTGTTTTAATATTTTACTATAGGAAGGAAATATGGCCTGCAAACTTCTACAAAAGAGATTCGGAATTGTCAATGTAAGTTTTTTCAAAACCAAATTTTGATAATGATAATAATGATAATGATAAATGACAGCAATGATAATAATGATATAATTGAAAAAAGAATAATTTTAAAATCGAAATTTAAAATTTTTGATAAAAAGTATCGAAGTTTGGAAAACAAATTGATTTTTAGCCTATGTTATCCCCGGGGCACTGAAAATTATTTTATAAATAATAATAATGACAACAATAATTATAATAATAATGATAATATTAATAATAAAATTGCCAAGGTTTCTGAATGGATGAAAGAGGTGGATGGGGATTCTGACGGAAAGCTTGATTATGAGGTCTTCATCACAAAATATTTTATATATTTTATATTGCTAATAGCAAAAAATATAAAAATAACAAAATTCTAATTTCCAGGAGTTTGCGGGTTCAATAATGGAAATTCTGTCTGGAGCTTAGAAAACAGTTTAAAAGTAAAGATGTAAACCGTAAAATGCTTCTTAGATTAGAAAAGATAAAATAAACAATTTTTGAAAGTTTTTAACGTTGTCTTATTACCTAATGTTGAATTCTGTTAATGAGGGTTTAATGTTTGAGTAGAGTTTGCTAGGCTCGAGCCTCAATTTTTGCCCTTACCTCTCAGAGCAATTTTTTGCAAGTTTTGGTTTCCTAAAATTTGAAATTATCAGCTGTAAATTATTCAATGTTTTAGTCGTTCGATTTTCCAAAAAAAAGTTTTAACATCAAGAATTAGATAAGAAGAACGAAAGATCAGAAATAATGTGGCTTGGATGTAGATTTGTGTGGCTCCAAGACCCCCTCCCCTCCCTCCTAAATAGCGGTCTGTAGTGGAGCTGTCAACCTGTCAAAGATGCCAGATAACCATGTTAGGTGTGTGTGGCCTGTTTATGATTGAGAGATGATGCCGAACTTTTAAAATATCAGCAAATGATAGAAATTTTGCCTGCCTGGACTGAGTAGAAAACACGAGACTTTATAACACCGATATCTGCCGGATTCTCCAGAAAATTTGAAATCCCAAAATTAGTATTTTCCATTAAATTCCAAATGCCAATTTTTACGTTATTTTGAAAAAATGAATCAAAATATTTTTTAAATTTGATTTTGCCTTTTTTTAGTTCCATTGAAGATCATAAAAACTTAAATAATTTTATGTCAGATTAAAGAGTAAAATTATTGGAAATTGTATTAAAAGGAATCGAGTTTTTGCCACAGCCTCAAATTTTCTAATCGCCATATCTTTGTAACCTGATGGTGTAAACCTTTTATTTTTCAGGCTTAGATTATTTGATCTAACAGAATTCACTGTTTGAAATATCTAAGGTCTACGAAATTGGGTTGTAAAGATATAGGTATTAGAAAATATAAGTTTGTGGCAAAAACTTTGTCTTCTTAAGTTAATTTAGAATGAACAGTTTGTCTTTATAATATCTTTTAATATATTTTGGAACTAGGACTTTAATTTTGTCTTGAAAAACATCAACATAAAAGGGATATTCAATCAACCATTTTAGCCCGAGTAAAACAACTTTTTTGGTAAAAAATATCAAACTATGAGAATCGTATTTTAGATAGAATCGTCCATTTTCCCATCCATTTCTGCGTGACAGGCGAGCTTCTAAACTAAATTTAATAAGCCATCAACAACCGTCAGATCTAAAGATGCGCGGAATGCTTTCTATTGCGTGAATCTCTGATCGTGCGCGTATTGAAGTGTGTGTTTGTGAAAAGCATGATAGTGATATACCTCTAATGAAACCTGAGTATAAGTATGAAAAGACCCCTCATGGCGAGAATAATTCATTTTAGTATGAACTCAGGATTAAATACGAAACTTTATTTTCCGCGCATACCTTCTTTTATATGGACCAGTCAAATATTTTAAATTTCACTGAGTCTTTACGAGGCATTCCAGTTTTGGAACGATGGAAATACAGCGTGGAATCAAAGAAGTGAACATTTTCTAGTCTTACTCATTTGAAAAGAAGAAACTAAACATCTAATGACAGTTATTTTCAAAATAAAATGATGTTAAGGAAAATAATAAAATCGTAATAAGATTAGCAATTATCGGATACAAAATTAGCAAAATGTTTTTTTAAAAATGTCCAATCTCTTAATTTCCTTCATTGTCTTTGCTGCATAAATCTGTAAGTCAGTTGTACAAAGAACCGCAGTTTAAAAATACCAATGTTAAAACAGAAAAGCAACAAACCTTTTTGCACTGAGAATTGATCGAATTTAATCAATTTGAGCTTAGGCGCTGAACAACCTACTGCCGGTTCAAATTTAAACCACCGATTTAAAGTTAAAGATAAGAAAGTATTTGAATCGGGGATTCAAAATTGATCCGGCGCGGTGGTAAGCAGTTACAAATCATTAAATTCGGTCCTAGATTTTTATGAAGCGAGCAGAAGTTCAATTTTCTTAGACGTAGTTGAACCACTTCTGGTGTGCACCGGTTCAAGTTGAAGAGAAGTGGTTGAACTAAGTCCTAGGAGTTTAACTACTCTTAATCATATTTTAGATTACAGGAAAAGTAATAAAAACTAATGAAACTAAGTTTTATCCAATCCTTGAATTAAACTGTTAAGCCTTAAGCATAATGAAATGCTACTGAACCTAAACTGACCAAGGTTATATAATAAGGTTGGTTACTCTCGATGAGCACCAATGTACGGAAAATATTGTCTCCTAAGCATAGGTAGATAAAAACATCATACGACGTGTTACTTATAATCAGTGACAACATGAACAGGGGGCGGAAACGTCATGTGTGTGTGTCTGTACCAAAAGAGTGTGTGTAAAGTTTACCGAACCGAAGGTGTGTACTGTAGGTTTATACAGTACGTAAGAATCTCGGTATTTGTACAGTATAGGAGATTACATTTGTTTATTGTTAATTGTTTACTTAAAAATAAGTTGAATATGCATGTAATATATTATTTTTATTTTTAAGTCAACACTATAAAGCCACATTTTCATGCAAAGAATATAAGCTGATTAAAATTTACAATAAACTACTCGTTATTCAAGTATAATTATAATTGACGACATTATTCTACAATTTCCATGACTGTAATCATGTTTTGTGTCTGTACCAGAAGAGTGTGTATAAAGATTACCGTACTGGTCTGCAAAGCAGTGCGACTGGCTTTCTCATGCCAGACCAGCGCCATTTCCTTAATCCCTTTATTCCTATTCCCTGCTGCATATGAGGTGTCTTAGGAGACGACATTTCCCGTACATTGGAGCGCATCGAAAGTAAGCAACCTTATTATACAACCTTGATACTGACTCATGAGATAAATTTGGCAAAATGACTTTTTAAAGATACAAAGAAAGTAGACCACGTTTTGGAAAGCTCATTTAATTTTTTTTTCATTCACTTCATGTCATTTATCAAATATTAGAAATCAAAGACGATATTCAAGTCATCTATTAATTCCCATGTTTATTGTGACACCCTGTATAGCTGACTCCCGAGGTAAATTTGGCAAAATGACTTTTTAACCTAGGTTAGGAATTTAATTATCTAGGATTGACACTATAAACATATAAAAGTGTATTACAGGTTCTAGTAGAATTGCTACTAGTTTTCTCAGCAATAAAATCTAACATTCCTTATTTCATTAGAACTTACCTCCCCCCATCCACTTCTCATTCCCCCCCCCTTCCCCTTCAATCCATTTTCCCTTTTTCTATTTCTCTTACAATTGAATTTAATTACATTCAAGATTTTGTTTTTTAAATACAGGGTGTCCCACCTAACATGGTAGAAAGACAACTCAAGAAGGTCGTCTTTGATCTTGAAAATTTGCGGTATTTATATTAGTAAACCTAAATTATGAAAGTATGATGGTAGAATTAATAACTACAAATCAATCGTAGTTCAGACATTTCCAAAATATAGTAATATTAAAAGCTCATAAATGGCAGACCACATTTTGGTAATGTCAGAGCTAGGGCTATTTTGCAATAATTTACTCTAGCATTATACTTTTAAAATTAATGTCAAATTACGTCGGAGAGTTTGTATGTAACTTGGTTATGATAGAGATTAGGTTAGATATTTTAAAAATTAAATAATTTTCTATAAATTAAGGCTTTGATTTCTTTGGAGATAATTCAGTTAAAACATGAGTAGATAAATGTTTTATCAATCCTCTGACATCTTTAATTTTTTTTGCTTCGTTTGAATAGACCGTTTTGTTTCTTTTATTTTTAAAAGTTAAAAAAATAAAAATTAAAAAATGTCTAGTACTTTTGGAAATTGTAATCTTTTTTTTCTTTTTTCTTTTCGATTTATGGGATTGGTATGCAATGTAGAACTTGAATATCGTCTTGATTTACAAACGATTTAAGATTATAATAAAAATGCTGCAATATTTCTTTTCATATAAATTAATTAATTAATTTTTTTAAATTCACCAATTAATCTATATATTCATCTATTCATCTATTCATCTATTCATATTTTCATCTATTCATCTATTCATCTGTTCATCTATTAATCTATTAATCTATTAATCTATTCAAATATTTATCTATTCGTCTATTCCTCTATTCCTCTATTCATCTATTCATCTATTCATCTATTCATCTATCCATCTATTCATCTATTCATCTATTCATCTTTTCATCTATTCACCTATTCATCTATTCACCTATTCATCTATTCGTCTATTCCTCAATTCATCTATTCATCTATTCATCTATTCATCTATTCATCCTTTCACCTATTCACCTATTCATCTATTCACCTATTCATCTATTCATCTATTTATCCATTCATCTATTCATCTATTCATCTATTCATCTATTCATCTATTCACCTATTCGTCTATTAATTTATCTGTTTATCCAGACATAGTAGCCTGCATATAGAGCGTATCTAAGGCCTGCTGGGAATTTAGCTTCGCGTTGGGTGAGCTTCTACAATTCTCCTCCCTCCCCCCTTTTCTCCATTCCCTCTCCCCCCATTCTTTTCCCCTTCTCCCACTCATTTCCTCCTTATTCCTCAAATTTCACACCCTAGCTCTCACTTGCTTCCCTTTTATTTCAAATCTTATTCTTCTGTTTTCTTCCCCAATTTAGCTTTCTACATGTAGAAATATGGTATTATATTGTTTTGTATTTTATTGTATTCTATTGTAATGTATTGTGTTGTATTGTATTGTATTGTATTGTATTGTATTGTATTGTATTGTATTATATTGTATTGCATTGTATTGCATTGTATTGTATTGTATTGTATTATATTATATTGTATTAAATTGTATTGTATTGTATTATATTGTTTTGTATATTGTATTGTATTGTATTGTATTGTATTGTATTGTATTGTATTGTATTGTATTGTATTGTATTGTATGTATTAATTTTCATTCACAGTTTTTAAATTTAGACCAATAAACCTTCCATTGGGTCACATAAGTTGCTATAAAAATGTGCGCTGTTTAGCCGTATATTTTTATCAAAATGTCAATCATTTCCTAGGTATTTTTGGACTTGCAAT